GGAAGGAAGGAAGGAAGGAAGGAAGGAAGGAAGGAAGGAAGGAAGGAAGGAAGGAAGCCATGAGTAGTAAAACACAAGTAAAAGCAAAGCACAAGTAGCAAAACAGATGGATAAGCATCCGACTCTTAAATTTTTTGATGACCACTACCAGGACTTGATAGACTAGGAGTAGGTGACTGGATGCTCTCCAGATGTTCTGGACAGCAGCTTCACAGTGCCTTACCATCAACCACACTATCTAGGGCTGATGGGAATTGAAGTCCCAAATGTCTGGAGGGCACAAGGATGCTTTAACCTGGTATTTATCCTAGCACTTACATCATGGTCTTGGGTTATCAGACCTCCAAAACTGGAACAGAATGAGAACCAATGAAAGGCTTAAAAATGGCGCCGACTACGTTCCCAGATATAGGAAAATGCCAATTAAGTTATTATGGTGAATAATCCAAGGCACAAAATAGGAGCCTGTGCTTTTACCAAGATTCATTTTTTTTTAATTTCATGTGGTGTGTTTAAAAAAAAAGTAATCATATTAAATAACACTTCTAAAGCTCATATTAAGGTAATATCGACTCATTTAGCAGCTTCAACAGAGCAGAAAGGAAGCAGGGAAGGAACAAAGCGCATCACAGTGGGAAGTTTATGATTGCAAGTGGGCAATTCATTCCTCATGAACAATGGAGGATGGGATTTAAGCAGACTGAGTCAAACTCCTGAGAGCTAACTGCAGAGCAACGGGGAAGTGTAATTTCTCCCTTGAAGGCTATCTATGTGGAAGATTTTTTTCCCCCCCAGGGAGTGGAAAAACCATTTGTATTCTTGCTGGGATATGTTAGCCATGCAATGGCCTCTTCTGTTGGTGCAAACTGCCCACTCAGTTCTACAACTGCCGGTTCCCTAGCTAACCAAACAGCAACGTCTGGTGCAAAATGAGGACAATATTTCAGGTTCAGGAGAGTGCCAACCTTGGCAGAAATTAAAAGAAAAGGAAGAACTTAAGGGGGCAAGGAGAACAGCCAAAAAACTTGAAAAAGATTGTGGTCAGAAGTAGGAGAGCACTTCCCCTACACAATTTTGGTTGATTTTTTCCATCCATTCTCTTACTCAGTCCAGAATGTTTAACTCCCCTCTACTTTGTCCATTCACCCAAAGAAACCTTGTTGGTCTGGCTTAGTACAGTTTGCTGGTGTGATGGAGATTCTGTTAATGTAGCCTCACAATAAGGCAGAATTAGCACATCTGGTCATGTTTTCTGTCTGGTTTACCTGGGAAGGCTGACATCAATCTTGCAAGTCTGACAGTCCAAATCTCCCGCCGTCCCTTTTTACCGTCTGATCAGTTACGGCAGATCCTTTCTAAGTTTCTTTCTCTGCCCATTACTCTGTTGCGGGCTCCACCCTCTTTTATCTGATTGTTCCCTAGGCAGCATCTCTCCCCCCCCCCAATCTTCCAAGGTTATTCTCACATTCCATCACAGCTCCTGAAGACTATGTGATGCTAGACGTCATGATTTGATGGTAAAAATTATCACTTCCTAAAACGAGACTGCAGTCATAGGTTTCGTGGGGGTCAAGGAATGTGAATGGTATGCAGGGACCCATACAACAAATTATGGGGCAAGGGAAACCAGGATACAAATGTTAGGATAAGTGAATGTGATTATGCCCTGTGTATTGAATAATTCTCCCCTTATGGGACATTCAGCTCAGTAGTTTCTCTGCTATCGTAAGACCATTCTTCTGTGCAAGGATGGCGAACCTGTGGTCCAACTGATGTTGTCATTGCTACTCCCATTGACTGGGGATGTCAGGAGTTGAAATCCAACAAATTTAAGGGGGTGGCTCATGCCTGGTCATGTCTCAGCTAGACGACTATTATTTGTTTTATGTACCTGTTCTTGAATATGATGAAGAAGATGCATTAGAAAAACCCACCCGAATGCTCCATATCTCATCTGGGCATATTCAGAGGTCATATTGGCTACACGGAACCAAGCCTGCACAATCAATCTGTGGCAACTTTTTCCAGTACTGATGTGGGATTTCACCCTCATGATGTATAATGGTGCTAACAGACTAAGTCTTTTGCCCTTTGCAAAAGAGATCCAATCTGCAGCTCTTTGAAGCACAGCATATTTTAAATTATAACTTTTGAGCAGGGCTTTCAGGCTCCCTTAATGATGCCTTGACTTTTGTAGTTCAGTGGTTCTTAGATGTTCTTGAGTTGCACTTTATTACCTTACAATTAATACATGTTGTGCTTGGGAATACTGTCTGTCTTCCCCACTCTCCAGAGACTGGTAAAACAGAAGATTTACATATGTAGAGTACAATGAACTCAGTCTTCCTTAACATCGTATTTTACAAAGATGGCTGTGATGTTTGAGACAACATTACAATTCCACTACATGTCGGAGAATGAGTAGGTACAAGACCTGGTTACTCATCAGCTTTCAAATGACTCATTTGATAGTTGAAAACTCCAACTGCAATTAAAGGAGAAATTTATACCCATTTTTAAACTAAGGGGAGAAAGGTTGCTTTTCTATTGCTTGTGCTTTATAAAAAGTGTTGAATATTGTACTTCTGATCCCTAAGACAACTTGCACATGAAGTTGAAGGCCCACTGCTGCAAAACTATTCTCTGAAGCAAGACTGTCCAGCATTTCAGAAAGATTAAAAATAGAGACATGACCACCCATAAAACCCAAGATTTCCATGCAAAAGTTTCCTGAAACCTTCAGATTTAACAAAGAGTCCTCCAGGAAAATTTAGTGTTAGTGTTAGGGTCTTGAATAGCTAGTACTTCATCAAATAGACCAACAATGGAGCACAGTATGCACTTAGAGGAAACCAGATGCTCATTGTCCAAGCCCCTCACCACAGTACATCAGCAGATCACTCATAAATTAGCATGAAAAACAAGAACTTTTTTTTTGGTGGTGGTGGTTCTTGACCAGAAAGCTAACATGCTCTAAATAAACATGCATAAAATAAAGAACAGCTGCTGAGCTGAGCATTAAAAACCACCTTCTAAGAGGTTGGATCATCAATTGCACAGCAAGCATTTGACTTGTCTTAGGTACATGTTAAACAGAAACAAAACCGATATCTAGCTGCAAACAGAAAAATAAATACCACACTTGATCTACTATTTCAAGCCATCTCCTCTGAGACCAATACATCTCCAGTAAGATCACACAAATAGATTACAAAGAACCCTGCACCTGGTTTAGTCACATCCCAAAAGCTTGTAAACATCTGTCTTTTCAAAAGCTGGAATAGAGATCATACACCTTAGACAGAAGCGTCTGACTCCTTGCTTCTTATTCTCCCTCTGGCAGGGATGGGCCAAATAAACTCACACAAGCACAAAAACACACAAATCATGCTTGATCAAAGATCACAGAGCAGTGTAACGCCTACCGAAAACAACAGAGCAAGTGAGAGACTCCATGAAAGCCTTCCATTGAATGGCAACAGTGACATATATCTACAGGAGTATGAACATTGTTATGACAGGCACTGGGAATATCCCCGTAAGAAAGTGAGGGCAATGTGAATTCGCCTTTGGTGCCTAGTCTTTCAGCTCCAGCATATTTCCACTGCCCATAATGAAGAGAGAGAAGGAAGGGTTTAAAACAGAGAGAAGTGAATGTTGGGCTTCTCAACTTGCTCCTGTTTCAAGCAGCACACAAGGAACTGAGGAATTATGGGAGAAGCTGCAACCTTAAGAGCTAATCGGACAGAGAGAATGTAAATACGGCTACCATCTTAGGTTAAATAACATCTACTTGCTCAGGGGTAGCCAAGCTGAAGGACGATTCACTCTTTCTGACACTTCTTGATTTGCCTCCATTTATCATCGGCAAGATAGAAGGAACTGTCTGTTTCTCTTGAGATAATGTATCTCATACTGTCAGATGCTACCCCAGGTGAAGATGCCTGTCCTCTGATAGGGACCCGGATCTGTTCATTTTTATTTCTTGAGCCTCTGAGGGCCACAGTGGGCATGGCAGTGATGTGGCGACATCATGGCAGAGGCAGAATTTATTTTTTTCACATTCTGAGAAGGTTGGAGGGCTTAGGGGATTTAATTAAAGTAGAGATGTAAAGATGATTAAAGGTTGATTTATATTTTAGGGCAAAAGAAGGGGGAGGGGGAGAGGGAGAGGGAGGGGAAAGAAAGGTCTGTGCTGATGAAAAGTTCAATTTTGTAGCCAGATACCAGAAGTATGACCTTGGAGGCATCTAGAATGATAAAAATGGGTAGGGGCTCCATGTGGCCTGCAGGATGTAGATTATCTTCTCCTGATGTAGCCCCTAATGTCCACTCTGCCAGGCAGGATTTTAGGCTGATTTTTTTTTTCAGCACTCCCGGGAGATAGCAGAGAATGAACTTGCGTCTCTCTGCAGGCACATTCTCACTGTGGCCCAGCCTTTCATCATGCCCCCAAATGGA